AGAGTTGTTCAGAGATGCTAGGTGAAATGCTAGTGTGGACAGAGTATGTTTTCATTCTAAAACGCTGTTTTGAAAACTAAAACGTATTAGAGTAAACGGGGCCTCAGTCTAATGGGCTATTCACACATTATATCTGGATTTGAGGGTGAAGTCTGTCTGCCTGGCGACTCCAGTTTTGTTGCAAAATGGCTGACATGGATTCTATTGAGAGATTAGCTGCACTTTATGTGCTTTAGGAAGGCTAAAACTGTTTTCATTAGTACTTCCAACTAAATCATCCCTTTTTGATGACCTGTTGCCCTTTGTCAGCAGGAGGATTTTCCATTCAGAACACAAAATACAGGCACTACATCATAATCACGCCCTATAGAACAAGCTCCTGATTGGTTAACATGGTGCAAATGTCCAACAAGGAGCATCAAATGCCCCAAAACCAGAGTTTGGTGTCACTGTATTCTAGTGACATTTTTGAGGAATGCAGTAATGTAACAAATTACATTTTAAATTTGTGTCATTTGATTACATTTACTTAAGTCAGCGTAATTGTGTTACTTATGTTACAAATATCGTTTTTAGAGGAAAAAAATGCTTCTTTTAAATCACTTTTTTCGCTGCAACATCAGTTAATAGGCATGCACTTTAAACCATCTACCACATGGTGTTGCCATATGGCAACATGATATTATAATCATTTCCCAGCCACTGTTGGCTAAACTAAGGTCTTGTCTGTAACCAAATTTTTTTGGTTAAAGACAAGACCTTAGTTTAGCCAATGATGTGTTTTGGTTAAGTCACATGACATGCAGTGTTTTTCTGTGGCACGATATTTGACAGACTGGCGTTTATTGTATGTAGTTGCTGAATGCAAATGTAAACGTCAATAAAAACAAAGGATCAACTCATGTCAGATCCATAAAAAAATCTGAAACATCACCTCCAGTTAGTTATGATGACATATTCACTCCAAAACGTTTTTCTCAAATGAGTTTTTTTGTAAATCGATCAAATGTACTGTATATGTCGCCAAATGGCAACACTGTCCAATAGTGGAACGTGCAATATTGAAATGGGTTAGCTAGCTAGCAAGGTCAGCTGTGAACTTTCGGTATTAAATCAGCGTATGAATTTTGGTGCCTAATTTCTTAGCTACTGCAAGAACGTATGGGGTGCATGAAAAAAGGCTCACATAGGCGTTGTGTCACAGCATCACTAAACATTTCATTCTAAACAACTTTGAGGAATACGGACAGGCGATATCAGGCGATTTTTATTGTCGCTAGGGAACAGAAGCACACAACGCGCGCAGTATAGCACATTCAGCCTGGTTTTCCAGCGGTTTTCGGTGAGCGAGAGTGACACTCTTTAGATCAACACGCATGATCACGTTCATCCAATTTGCTTAAACTAAGCATTCTAAACATATTTTACAAGCAAGGATTCTTACACAGCAACTGTCTTTACAAAAGTTGTGTGTAAGGGGGAAACATGTCAAACTTAATGACACATTTTAGGCCTCAAAGGCAGAGCCTCTCTCGCGTACTTTAGGTGTCACCCTCGGGCACTCGCTTATGCTCGCTCCCTCTGTTTTCGCAGCACTTGCTATCTCTGTGACGGTGCTGTGCACATCAGTTCCCCATATTCGTCAGAAGTTGACGCCCAAATTGACACAGGTAATAAAATGATTAATCTTCAGTCATGTTCATGATGTGAAACACTATCAAAATGTCCACCCTTGATATTAGACTTCGATTTTCAATAGTGATTTTAACACTTTAATATAGGAAGTCCTTGGCTATGCAGAGACCATTATTAATCAGAAATCAAGTGTACATAGTTTCACGTTTGGAAATGCAGTCTTGAATTTACAAACAGTCGGCAAGTACCAAAGAACAGATGTAAAACATGATCAAATGTAGTTCTCAGTCCCGCTCATATTCAACTCGTTTAGTTTTGCCTTCATTCATTTTTGATTTCCGTTTACAAGTCATGATTTATTTACAACACATTTTTAAAGATAATAGTTTAACTAACTCATTTCTAATATCTACTTTTTTATCTTCCCCATGCAGACAGTTGTATTCAGACAAAGTCACTTTAAGTATTTTATAGTTTTTTATTAAGATTAAAGTGTAATTTAGACTTATTCAGTTAACTACGAAAGTTGAAATAATTAGCCAAATTATTTTGTCACTGATATGTTGTGTAAATCAAAAATATACATTAAGTATTTCTTAAGAAGGCTAATAATACTGACCTTATTTTAATTTTAATTAAAAACGGCTTTTATTCACAAATAAACAATAAGAAATAGGACTTATTAAGACTCCAGAATAATATTTCTTTTAGGAAACACTTTAAAATTTTCAGAAACATTATTTTAAATGAATAGGAGGGCAAAATAAATTGACTTCAATTGAAAGTTTACAGGTGCAGCAATGTGCCTTGATGTACTTGAATGTTAGAAATGTGTTATCCAACACCAGTTTGACGTTACTTGTCAAATGAGTGAACAAGGAAGATTATTTGGAGTTTAAGTTATTTAATATTTTGTTTATAAAGACTGCAGGGTGATGCATGAAAACAAATGACTTCGAAAAATGTATTTTGTGATGTATATGTTAAAATGTGCTCCTAAAAGTACGTGGCCCCTGCCCGCCCCCCACAGGTTAATAGTAAGCTAATGTAATTTCATAATGCATATCTTAAATTCAACAATCCAACAAACGATCAAAGGAAATGTATCAATACAATACAGTATAAATTGATGTTTACTTTAATCTTTAATTATATTGTTCTATTAAAATGATTTTTTTTTTTTTAAATATTGTCAAGTAAAATATTTTTGGAGTCATCCACCATCATTTTGTGTCACGTTAGAGTGATCAAAACAGGAACAAAAAGGTGCGGATCCAAGTGCAGGTTTATTTACAATCGTGCAGCAAACAGAAAAACAAGGTGTCCGGTGTTCAAAAATAACAAAGTAACAAATAAACAGCAAAAGAAGAAACTATGAAAGAAACAGGATCAGGAATAAGATGAAGGTAACAACAAACTCGACATACAAGACTTCAAGATACTAATGACAAGATATACAAACGACGCAGTAACAAACAGAGGTGGAATGGTTGTATAAATAGTCCTGGAAATCAACGGTAAACAGACACAGCTGTGATGGCGGATCAGTGTACGTGGACTGGGTGTAATGTGCGTGGTATATATGGACTTGTAGTTTTTGGGCGCTGTAGTTCATACTCAGTGTCCGTTGAACTACAGCACCCTCAGCTGTTCACTGACAGTCATGACATTTTGTGGCTAAAAAGTATCGGTTCAGGCACCGTTTTGGCACCGGTATCAAAAAAACCCAAACGAGACCCAACCCTACACATAATCTACTTTCACTTTCGCTCTCGTGGATAGGGAAACCTTGTACGCACAGACATCAATTAGTACATAAATAATTAATTTCGTTTGTTAAGCGCAAATATTTTTTTTAAAACTATTTGTAAATTCAGTTCTAATTTCCAGCAAATGAATAAAGGAACAATAATAACAAAGTTTGTTAAAAAACTGAGTTATATCCAAATACACCTGCTATGCCTCATATAGTCTGAAACCTGACAGTTTTTAATAAAACAAATATAAATATGGATATATTAAATAATTCTGCTAATAATAATAACATTATACAAAAGCAAATTGTCACGAATAAACTGAAAAAGCCCCCGAGATGAAGAAGGCATGAAAGTATGGTTTTTAAATTTATGTAAACTAGAAAATAATATGTTTTGTAATATTTTAATCCTTTATATTTGTATCCTATATATCCTTATTACATCCTTAATATTTTAACTCTATTTCATTTGTAAAAATATTTCCATATTGCTCTACATCTTGTGTGTATTAAGTAGTTTGTAAGCAAGGCGCACAACTAACACACTCTGCGCTTGACTTTAGACTGGCTTTGTTTTGATCTATTAAAAGATCTATTATAGTTTCCCAAAATAGCAATGTGCCAGCAATGCGCCTCAGAACGCCTTCCTTTTTACACCAGAACGCCTATGGGCGCACATATAAGCGCAAATGCATGTAAACAGCATGTGTGGTGCAAAACATCAAAATGACTCTTGCGCGAAGGTAAAACTAGCAAACAACTATTGTGTCGCACCTTGCGCCACATTGCGCCGGTTGTATGATAGGGCCCAATGTTTGACCAAAAACACAAACAGAAAATATAAAGGCAGCCAAATTGCCACTTGTTCGGTTCAGTTTGGTTCAGTTAGGTTCAGTTAAAGCACACATTCAAAACAAATTTGAAGAGCTTCACAGCTTTCAAATGTATTTTTCTTTATCTCACAACAACCAGTGGTAGTAATTGTTGAAATGAAACGTAATATCAGCAAGCTGGTAGCAGTAAAATACATTTAAATAGATTTCAGAGCCACCCCAGGCTGTATCACTGCTTTAAATGTTCATTGGCGTGGAATGAAAATAGAAAACAAAGCAGACAACCAGAAATACTGGTTGTGTTACATTTTTCCCTGCTTTTGTCTCTCAATTCACAGTTAAGCCTGCATGACAATGACGGGACAACAAACAGTACAACAAAACTTGCTAGTTCATGATTGCTCCAAACGTCTATGTAAAAAAACAACAACTAGACACTGTAACAGGTTTCCAATGGATATAAACGCATCACCCTTCACTTCCTATAGTCAAATTTATTCTGACAACAGCACGGCTCCCAGGTGTATTAACTACTGTTACTCACAGCAACAAACCTACTCTGCATAATGAGCGTAACACCTTAGAGAGGATGCTCCCAAAGGTTTTTGTGGCGTTCAGTTTTGAGGCATCATTTAACTATCTTTTTATTTATCGCTTATCTACCAAATGAGCAGTACACTCTAGGAAGCATCCGTTTCAGCGGTGAGTTTGAGAACTTCCATCATGATAAAACAAGTAATTTGCTTGCCGGCACCGCCTCCAGTTAACTGGTTGTGAAGTGTGACAGACCAGTCAGGTAATTCAGGAAGAGATATTCTACTTGAAGCAATAGTAGCACAGCATGATGGCTGTTAAAAACGTCTTTCACAGGTAAGCTCCTCCATCTTTTTATTATTTTTTAAGACTTTTACATGTACAATCCCTTTTTTTAATAAACATAAAGAAGGTGATTTTTCCTTGCAATGCAAGTAAACAAAATCTAATTAAATCCTTTGGCTCGGAAAGTAAACAGGTGACTTTACCTGGAACTGAAACGTAAGACAGAATGAAGATTGAATCATGATTCATACCATTGTATGGGATTGTACCTAACATTCATTGATAATTTAAGATAAAATAAATTATAAATTACCTAATGTGTTACGTGTGTAAATGTGTTTCATTTGTTCTAACTACAATACATCTAAAGGATTTCAGACGACAAATGGGTTTTTCTTTTTTAATGTACTGTAGACTGAATAATTATACTATCATAAATTGATTGTACGTTAGATTTGTTTGTATATTAGATAAAATACACATTTTCACACTCTTGTGAAGTCGTGATTATGGGCTTATCACATATTGTCAAAGCAGCAGGAGGACAAATCTTGGCTAACTCCCATAGAACTCTTATTTAAGACCAAATGTACTTTAGAGAGCCTATTTAATATTGAATTAAATGTTACATTCCTTGGCGGCACGGTGGCTCTGCATTGTCACCTCATGGCAAAAGGTCGCTGGTTGATTTCTGGCTGTGCCAGTTGACATTTCTGTGTGGAGTTGGCATGTTCTCCCTATGTTCGCATGGGTTTCCTTCTGGTGCTCTGGTTAACTAAATTGGCAATAGAGTGAAAATGTAGCATCTATATGTTGCCAAACATAAACATTTGTTGCTGTTTTGTCTGAAATTTTGGTCCAATCCATGTTAATTTGTTTGGGAAAAAGGCTTCAAATGATTATTTAGGTGAAAATATTAAAAACAAAATAAGGATATTGTTTTGGAGAAACGAAAATATACAGCATTCTGTACATTAATGGCTTTAATTTATACTAGGTTATTTCTTAAGAAATGTATCTGTATATGACATGGGCCTGTTGTTGGTTAGAACATTTCTGCAGTGGTTTGAATGTGCCAAATTGTAAAAATAGACTTTTCAAAAAATAAATAAATAAAAATAAATAAACAATATCATACAATATCCAATATCCTCCTCCTACAACTACTACTACTATTACTATTAATATTATATGTAGGATTTTTTTTTTCATTTCTAAAAAAATAGCCTACTGTTAATTATATCCATTAACGATTTATATGATTTATACATGATATTAGAATACGTTTTAGCGATTTAATTTATATAGAATAGTCTCAATAATATTTGTAAAGGAAACATAGGTCATATATGTTTTAATTACATATATTTCAATAAAAATGTAAACAAGTGCATGTTTTGACCAAAACTAATATTGCATTTTTTTTTCTAAAACAAAATAGTTTGCACAAAAAAATTCTGGGCATTTTCTCTGAAGAATTTCTTACTCTGCCCCATTTAGAGCATCATTATAGAAGTTTTACTTTATAACTAACATAGTTCAAACAATGGATCTGCGACATAGACACTACGGTTTTGGGAAACACTCCTCACTACATCGTTCTTTTTCCAAACAATGCATCGTGCTATAATAGTTCAGCAACTAGTTATGTCGTTGTTTGGGAAATGCACCCCTGGGAGAGAACCCTGAGCTCGAAGAAACCCAGAGCTCCCGCTTGCTCAATTAGCATGTAAGGGTGTCTGAAATCAGTTAGGACTCGAGAGCTCCACCTGGTAAAATAGGACAAGGAGGAGATGGGGTGGAAAGGGCAATTCTTCCAAAATGAAGACAAGGTAGTAAGGTGAAATTGCTCTATTTATTGTAGACTTGCATCTGTCTGATTGTATTATTGCTGATTACAAATGAGAATCCAGCCGCAATCAATCATATCACATGCTCCTCTCGATATTAAAAAAATTCACTTTGTGGCTAAATAAAAACAAAACTGTAATAATCTGTTTGTTGAGCTTCCTCTTTTACTACTTCATTATGTCATTCGGAAATCCGACTTGAATCAAACCAGTCACAGAATAAACAAAGAATTAGTCACTAAATCTGATTACACAGAAACGCGCAGAGGAAAGTTATGGGTTGAAGCATTTACACAATGATTTTTTTTCTCCCAGCTCATGAATAGTAGGATGTAAACATTAGCTTTTCAATGAAACAATCTGTAGTTGAGCTCAAGTAGCACAAAGCATGCTAAAGGTAAACATTCCATCATTTTCTTTTCGGCGTAGTCCCTTTATTAATCAGGGGTCGCTACAGTGGAATCTAACCCAACTTATCTAGCATATGTTTTACACAGCGGATGCCCTTCCAGCTGCAACCCATCACTGGGAAACACCCATACTCTCTCATTAACACACATACACTAAAGACAATTTAGCTTACCCAATTCACCTGTACCGCATGTCTTTGGACTGGTGGGGGAAACCGAAGCACCCGGAGGAAACCCACATGAACATGGGGAGAACATGCAGACTCTACAGAGAAATGCCAACTGAGCCAGCCGAGGCTTGAACCAGCGACCTTCTTGCTGTAAAATGATCCCACTGAGCCATTGTGACACCCTAAAAGTAAACATTGGTTCATTTGTTTATTTAAGTAATACAGAATTAATTTTGTTTCTGTTTCTTTTTTCTCTGCAGTTTGGCTCAAGATGGAGGTTTCTACATTTGTCACATTAAAAAGGCCTTCGTACTACTGCTCACATTGGCATTCTTGTTGTCTACAATTGCTTATATGTCTGATGTCTCTTTTGAGGACATTAAGCTACCTCATAAATGGCTTTTTAAAGTCATAAATAAGACTCACGGGGTATTTAATCAAACTTTGGATGACGGTAAAGACCGCTTAGCACCATTGGCCAAGCAACAAATTCAGCAATGGGGCGCAGCTATCTATCATGTGGCTCACCCAAGGAATTATGATTTCATGCTGGATGAACCTGATGTATGCAAGGAGAATCCATTCCTGGTCTTGATGGTTCCTGTTGCTCCCAATCAGATAGATGCTCGAAACGCCATCCGGAGCACATGGGGGAATGAAACCACAGTCCAGGGGAAAGCAGTGTTAACTCTGTTTTTGGTGGGTTTGATTGTAGGAGCAGACTCTGAAAAAGCTCAACAGCAGCTGGAGGAAGAGAGCCGACAACACAGAGATTTAATCCAGAGCAACTTTGTGGACTCCTATTTCAACCTGACCATAAAGACCATGGTGATCATGGGCTGGTTGGCCACTCGATGCCCTCAAGCGAATTACAGCATGAAGATCGATTCAGACATGTTCTTAAATGTTGATAACCTGGTGACTCTCCTATCAGCTCCCAATACACCCAGAGAAAACTACATCACAGGAATGGTGATGTGGAACCGGCCTGTTGTCAGGAGCAAAGACTCAAAATGGTACGTCTCAGAGGAGCTTTACCCCGAGCCAACATACCCTACGTATCTTCTGGGAATGGGATATGTTTTCTCTAATGATCTGCCATCAAAAATAGTGGAGGCTTCCAAGTATGTAAAGCCGTTTAACATAGAAGACGCATATATTGGCGCTTGCGTAAAACATTTGGGTTATGCACCCACATCACCTCCAGACCCTTCTCAGTTTAGAGCCTATTTGGGACAATATGTCCGAGAAGATTTTTTCAGGGTCATCACAACAATCCTCGGATCCCCACAACAGCTAATAGACATCTGGAAGGATATACACAGGCCCACATAACAAAAGGAAACGCCATGAACTATTGTGGATTTACGCTTAAGACATTATTAACGCTCAAGATATGAGACATGATTGAGCTGCAAGCGTGTGGACCTCTTGTTTTGATGGAGTGAGATGATCCTCCGAGGAGGCTTTTACAGGATTTACTTTTGAATTTTGGTTTCAGAGGGATACAGGTTGTTAGAAGCAGCATTAACTGTTATGACGTGATTAAAGTCATTAAAAAGCAGCATAGAGAAACACCAAGTGATGGTCTGTCTACAGAATGACAGTCTAGCAATATGACAACAGCATGTATTTACCTAATGCGACTTTTGGTTACATAGTTTGCATGTTCTCCCTGCGTTCGCGTGGGTTTTCTCCGGGTGCTCCAGTTTTCGCCCACAGTCCAAAGACATGCCATACAGGTGAATTGGGTAGACTAAATTGTCCGTGAGTGTGTATGGATATTTCCCATCGATGGGTTGCAGCTGGAAGGGCATCCGCTATGTAAAACATATGCTGGATAAGTTGGTGGTTCATTCTGCTATGGTGACCCCAGATTAATAAAGGGACTAAGCCAAAACGAAAATGAATGATTGATGAACTTTTGGTTCACATGTTCTTTAACTACTATGTACATGCATCAAAAAGATTATTTGCTAGATAGAACTCAAACACAGAACGTTCCCCTAATTTTTTCATATGGTTCCAGTTTGGTTATTTTTTTGGAAACCATCTAAGAATGCGTTGGGAATGTGCTTTGTATGTTCTGGGAACCTTCCCAGAATAAAGCAGTAGCAGTTTATGTTTAAAGCTAATTTAATTAAGAATGTTCTAAGAATGTTCTTTAAACCTAGAGGGAACATTCTATTAAGGTTTAAAAAATATTTTAAAAGAGAAGCAACATTTATTGGTTGGAAATGCTGTTATGTTAATATTTTATTGCTAAACACCTCCACTGCTATTCAGGTGAAGTTTAGGAAATGCTTTATTTCTATGGGTTTTCTATTACATATCTACGTACATTAGAAGTGGATTGTATCACATTATTTAATTTATATATTTATATTAATATTGCATCATAGTTAACAACATTAAAAATCAAGTGGGTCCCAATTAAAATATATGCAGTGTTATATTTTTATAATTATACATACACTATTAACAATTTCCTGCAGAATCTACAGTAACTCACTGTAAATTAATTACAACTAAAATACTATACATCACCTGACAGTAGTCTTGTCGCCTATCCAAGCTTTAGGTTTTAGGATCATTTGGTATCAGAAGTGGCTTGTATGAAAGACAAAGGCCTCTAGATTACGCCTATTTTTCCTAAATAAAATATGATCATGTCTTGATTTTCTAATTACTTAATTAGCACAGTAAGGTCTGACTTTGCTGAGACAAAAGTCTTGTCACTAAACAGTATTAATGTACAGTATAGAATATAAAGTCATGGTGCAGTGGAAACAGAATTAATATTGAGTATGACACCCATGAGCTTGGAGGACTGCATCCATACATATCTGCAATGACTCAAATCACTTATTAATAGTCCTCTGGAATGGCAAAGAAAGTGTTCTTGCAGAACTCCTAGAGGAGTTCATTTTCAACTCCTTAGGATTCAGTTTCAATTTCTCCTCCTTCATCTTACCTCAGACTTAATATTCACATGTGGTGACTGGGCTGGCCAATCCTGGAGCACTTTGACCTTCTTTGCTTTCAGGAACTTTGAAGTGGAGGCTGAAGTATGAGGAGAGCTATCCTGCTGACCTCTTGATGCCTACATACTGAATGTAACCCCAAACCATGATTTTTCTTTTACCGAACTGACTGATTTTTGTCAGAATGGGTCCATGTGGGTTCCAATATGTCTTCTCCAGTATTTGCACTGATTAGGATGCAGTTCAACAGATGATTCATCTGAAAAATCTACCTTCTGACACTTTTCTAAATGATCAACTATTATTTGCTGCTTTTACAACTAGGATCGATGACAAGACTTTTGTCAAGAAGTCTATTTACATTTACAGCACCATTTGTCTTGCTGTATATGTATTTACAAAATTGTATGCATATCTTTACTGTAAAATATACAGTAATTTTCACTGTGCAACTTTAAAACACAGTAACATACTGCATTACTGTCCTACAGTAAATATAGTTCATATTACAGCATAATACAGTTCAATCCGCTGTGGCGACCCCAGATGAATAAAGGGACTAAGCCGAAAAGAAAATGAATGAATTTCCATATAATATTAATTTTAACTGAAATTTTAAACTGTGAATATTAAACTTGCCATGTATGGTTCGAGTGCTGGCTGGTTCAGAAGGTCTTGCTATGCAAAGTGTGCAAGTTCTCCCTGTGTCTGTATGGGTGTCCTCCGGGTGTTCCAGTTTCCTCACAGTCCAGAGACATACTGCACAGGTGAAAATAGGTGAATTGAATGAACTAAATTAGCTGTATTGTGTGAATGAGTGAGTGTTGGTGTGTTTCCCAGTACTATGGGTTTACGGGCCACATAAAAACATGTCAGAATATTTGGTGGTTCATTCCTCTGTGGTGACCTCAGGGACTAAGCCAAATAAAAGTGATAAAAATTAATCTGTGTTTTCAAGGATACTTTTCATAACTGTCTGTTGGGTTGTTGTATAGAAATGGTGTCATAATATACAGTTGTGGTCAGAATTATTAGCCCCCCTTTGATTTTTTTTTTCCTTTTTTTATATATTTCCTAAATTAAGTTTAACAGAGCAAGGAAACTTTCACAGTATGTCTGATAATATTTTTTTCTTTTGGATAAAGTCTTATTTGTTTTTATTTTGGCTAGAATAAAAGCAGTTTTTAAAAACCATTTTAAGGTCAAAATTATTAGCCCCTTAAAGCTTTTTTTTTTTCGATAGTCGACAAAACAAACCATCATTTTACAATAACTTGCCTAATTACCCTAACATGCCTAGTTAACCTAATGAAACTAGTTAAGCCTTTAAAGTCACTTTAAACTGTATAGAAGTGTCTTGAAAAATTATCTAGTCATATATTATTTACTGTCTTCATGGCAAAAAGAAAATAAATCAGTTATTAGATGTAAATGTGAATAGTATTATAGAGCAGAAATGAATTTCTTTTTTCCACAAACCAAGTTTTAGGTCACTCAGTCAAATGTCTTGACTTTGTAAATATGAGTTAGTGTTTTATACTTTGATGTTAGTATGAATATTCTGTAATATTTATTTGTAATTCATTTCTGGTTCACCTAAAACAATCACCTCAGATTTACATTTCTAAATAAGAAAAGCCCCATTGGCAGAAAAGATCTTTTGACAACTCAAAGAACAAGAAAGTCAAGGAATGCATGTAGAAAATATAATTTCGGTACAAGAAAGCTTTACAATTCTTGCCCAGAATAAGCAGTCATATTTTAGACCATTAGCATCACCTTTGGTCCTCAGAAAAACCAACAGTTTTTTCTCAGTGGATTTCGGTTTATCGATCATTTTATAGACAAAATGTTGTGGTCCTCCTACATGGGTGATGTTAAAACATCTCACAACGTTACAGTATATAATGTAGACTCATCCACACTTAAACGGAAAAGCTTAAAGGCTTATTTCTGGTTGTAGAACTGTTTACTATTTCACTGAACGCTAGGTATGCACAACTCTTTTTTGAATATATGGCTCCATCATGTGGTCGTAATAAATATTATCTAAACGGCATTGGCTTTATTTATTAAATGCCATGATAAAATGTTATATATTATAAGTTACAATGCAGGAATTTGTAGTGTCCAAATAGCATTGATTGCCATTGTTTTACTACAGTAGGCTACAATGGTTAAGTGTAGCAAAAACCATAGTTGACTTGTGCTAGTATAGCTATTTATATAAACATTAGTGCTGTCAATCGATTAAAAAAATTTATTAATCACACTTTTTTAAAAATGAATCGCGATTAATCGCATTTAAAAGACTGAAACTTGTAATTTTGGCTATTCGAATGTAACATTAATGTACACGCAAGACAAAAGCTATTTAAATTCAAAATATTATATTTTGTTAGAATTTTTGTTTAACACAAATTTCTTCATGTAAACAACATACCCACAATAAACCATCAAGATCCTGGCTTGACAGTCATATTTATTACAGAAATAAAAACACAGGCATGTTAGAGCCATTTGAATTTTTAAAACAATCAATGCCAATAAAGAAAACATTGATTTCCATGTTAGATTGTAAGTGGACTGCAAAAAAGGGATTATAGATATAGAAAATGGAAAATTATAATAACAATAATAAAGTATTGAATGCAAGCAACTAATTGCAGGGCTGGACTGGACTGGGACAAAAAAATTGGCCCTGGCATTTTGGGCCAGAGCGGCTCACTAAATCAATCGAAATGCTGCCCATCTGTGCATGCCCTTGAATATGTTTACCAACTCCCATTCTCTAAAAGCACAAAAGCCATATATAGGAAATAACGAGAGTTGACAAATTAAAAACTTACATTTTTATTTATTTATTATTATAAGAAAATTATAATCCACACTGGAAATGTGGGTCCCTGTGTGTTTTGAAGGAGCCTAATAAATAATGAACATAACAAAAACTGCCTGCTGACGCACACAGTTAATGTTGATTAATAAAATACAGATTAATAATAAAAGCAACGTATAAGAGACCCTTAAAAAATGTTTAACTCAACAATGAAACATCAAACGACGATTAAAAGATTTTACATTGTCAATCAAATGAACTTAAACAATTGAAAAATGCAACAAATATTTGTTTGGGCCCGAACTCCAAAACTAAATGTAAAAAAAAGTTGCTAAAGTTGCACACTAGTTTGGATCATGTATAAATATCATTATAACCATATTGTTTAAATATTAGTGTCACTATAAGCCTACATAATGCTGACAATCAAAAACACAATGCCATGATATCTCATGTGATTGTCTTCTGACCGAGTGCATCTTAAAATACATGACTGACACCCCTCATAGAGCTTGAGAAGCAGACATTCTTTATAATTTGTAAAACTAAGACTTGCAGGTTAAGGAAACAGCAGGAGGAAGTTGCCGCAGTGCAGATTAAAAGTAAAAAAAAAAAAAAAAGTATATTTAAAGTATATTATATAAGGTATAGTATATTACAGTTTTTATTGATCTTGTGAGTTATCCAGCATAAACAAAAGATTATTATTTAAATATAGAGTATTTGGATGCCGATCACCCTCTGGGAAATCTGTCAAAATGATGGACAGCCTTCAGCTTTTTACATCTCTGCTGAAAAGATGTATTTAAAAAAAGTAAATAAATGTGCGAGAGACACACTTCAGGTAAATCACATCTGCTCTTCAAGTTAATAGTTTATTAAGACATGCATCAAGTGTTTGAAAGGGAAAAAAGGTCATTGAACGTGTGCAAATAATCATATTTATGTAACAGAAGCAGCACAAATGAAACCAACAAACAAGACTAGTTGGGATGAATTTGGACCTTGGTGGGCTAAGAGACCCCAAAAACATAAATTGAATATTATTTAATTTATAAAACTATACAAAACACAATAAACAAGAGTATTTGGAGAGGCGACTGGAGACGTTATTCATCAATTCAAAGTCATTGTCTAATATTGTGAAAAGAGAAGCAGCACAAATGAATCTTTCACTGTCCCAAACTAGCACAAATGAAGCAAACGGTACATTTTAGGCTGAATTTAGAGCAGTTGGTGGAGCTGAAAAACAAATCACAAAGTCCAACATTATTTTAACATCTGAAAAACCAAAGCAGCACAGATGGATTTTCCCTCCCGAATGTTTCAAACTATTTTGCTGTTTAGAGTTGGGTTTGGGCTCCTCCTGTTGTCCTCGGCGGAGCGGTGTGGTGCACAGGTGTCGCTCATTACCACTCACACCAGCGGCCTATAAATATGAATCAGTAAAGACTACAAGCACCGTTGTGGGCGGCAGCAGAATCATGCGCTCTCTCAGTTTATTGTTTACCTGTGAGTTTCTTGTTGAATAGCGCAATGAACATTTATATGTTGTTTTGGTGATGTGTGAAGTTTCTTACTGGATTATGTCATGTGCAGCTAATAATGTGAATCTGTGTGAGATTAGCAGTGCACGTGTGTTCATCAGTTTTCTTGTTTTTCAGTGGTGTTTCTGAACTCCATCCTGCTGATATCTGCAGATGATTACTGTAAGAGGTCTACTGGTGAGTGTCATATCACTTCCCAAGTTATTTATTAGTTTGTGTAATTCTCAAAGGAACTTTAAACACTTAGTTTTTCTTAGTTCGTAATGTAGCAACTATTTAACACCTTATTGGTCATTTGCTCTTATGACTGAAGTCTACCAGTTTAAGTTCCTATTTGGGCATTAAAGTGAGACCCCATCATTTTGCAGACATAGCAACTGCGTGTGAGCACTCTGTCCTGGATCTGTCCTGTCCAGGTAAAGTGTTCAAGTGGCACAATCCATTAAACTTGTTTGTTCTATAATGCTGCGGTTTTAATTCTCAAATGCCCCACCATTTGCTTCTGTCTCCATGTAGATCATACTGTGATTTAAGATCCTTGCTGCAAACTATGGACGTACAGAAAGAAGAAGCTGCCGCAACCGTCCATATGGGCAGCTCCGAGACACCCACTGCTATACACCAAACGCTGTCTTCATAGTGGGAAGACGGTATAATGTTTACAACTTAAACAAGGCCAGTTAATCAAATGGGTTTCATGACTTGTCCTTTCTGTGCTGTAGCTGTAACTGGAGAAAGCGCTGCTCTGTACCAGCCACCAACAGTGTGTTCTCTGATCCTTGTGTCGGCACATACAAGTACCTGAGAGTCAAATACTGCTGCAGGCGTAAGTTCTTGTTCAGAGCAACCAAGCTGCACAAGTGATTTTAATAACTGATGTGCTTGTTTCTGCCTTGCAGGTCGTAGGGGCTAATCTTGTGGATCTGGATTTGTCATCTCAACATTGGCTGGACCAAAAAGAAACCTTTAATGCTTCACATATGAAGATCAATCATGGGTTTTATTAAAATAATTCCCAAAAACTTGTTTTAGTTGAAGCGTGACAACATTGGCTTACTGTAGTTTATAATGGCATCTATGAGTTTCTTTTCCTAGTTAATCCTGTCGTCCATATGTTGTGTTGGGAGTTTTCATGAAATAAACGCCCTTCAGAACGTGGCTTGTTTTTTTTTTTTTTTTCTTTTCTCCCTTTTTGCCCTCTTATTGGTAGTATCCTGACTGAATATAGGCATTATAATTTGTAAAACTGTTGTAATATCTGAAAACATGGTGGAAAAGAGTAGCAATTTGTGTGTTACTGTAGTTTATTAGTGGCTACCTAAACTGTCCTGATAAAATAACTGATAATGTGCATGTGTCTTACTGTTAGGGGTTTGGTAATTGTATAGACTTAATATCTTAAACCACATTAGAAACCAACCAAATCCATTGGCTGAATTTAATTCATTGGCTTGAGTCGAATCTTAAGCAGCGTTTTAAATGCTGCACCATAATATTGACATCTGACCTACTAGCAAATAGAGGGATTATTCTTCCCAAACTAAAAGTTTGTTCACCTTCAGGTGAATTTTAACCTTAAAATTCTGTTTTAAACCAAGTCAAATGAGGTTCAAATCAAGGGTCGAGTAAATTGACAATCTTGAGTTTTGGTTGATCAATCATTCTAGTCAAATAATAAATCAACATTTAGTTGGACTTGTTTTAAGGTGAGATGTGTTTCTGTAACCAACATGCTCCAAATGGTATTTTTGATGCTGGTACAATTATTTGTGTTGCTTGGGTTGTTTTTAAGCTTAAAATGTTGTGGTTTGTGCAACTGAATTTTAGCTTTTTGCAATAGTTTTTTTTTTTTTGCTACAATTCTGATTTTAATGAACTAAATTAAATTTATATGGCTTCTTTACAAAACCTAGCTAGATTTGTTGATTCAAACCAACATTTTGTAAATAAATACAGGCTACTTCACTGAATTTGATTTGGTCAAACGCTTCCAGCCAACCACAAGGATTAGCCTGTGGTGTAGGTTTAAAACTGAAAGTACTAATAACTTTTACTCCTATTTGAACGATTAAGTTATATTTTAGGAAATAATCGATCGCTGGAGCTACACATACAATAGGCCTATTTAATTTCTAGTGTCCAGAGATTCGCACAAACTAATGAAGACGGTGTGGTGCACAGGCATCGCTCTGTACCACTCACACCAGCGGCCTATAAATATGAATCAGTAAGGAATACATTCACCATTTTTTCCCATCCATTCCATATTCATGGTCTTCAAATATGATTGCAGATATTGAGACCCTTCGCAAACTCTGGAAAGGTTCTCAAGTTAATGCTCCAGTATTATTTATAGAACATTTTGTACTGACACTATCTGAAAGCTGGTAAATCAATTGTTTGCATGTTTTGTGAATTGCTAATGGGCCAGTTTATGAACATTTAATGTACAACTAGAAAAAACTGAATCAAGGCCAGTTAAGCAAATGGGTTTCATGACTTGTCCATTGAATGGCGTAGCTATATGGGATCAATCGCTGCACTGTCCCAGCTGCCAACACCAGATTGTCTGATCCTTGTATCGGCACAAACAAGTACCTGAGAGTCAAATACTGCTGCAGGCGTAAGTTATTGTTCAGAGCAATCAGGTTGCACGAGTGATTTCAATATTTATTGTGTTTCTCTTTGTTTCACCTGCAGGTCGTAGGGGCTGATCTTTTGGATTTACACTATTTTTGTAAGCAACTCCACATCAGTTGGACAAAAATATTTTATGAAGACTAAACATGGGTTTTATTAGAACTAAATCCCAAAAAAAGCAGTTTGTTGAAGCATAACTATGCTGCATATTACTGTAGTTTAAAAATAGCATCCATATTAACCAATAAAAGCACTGTTTCTTTTCATGGTTAATCCTGTTATCCTTCTGTGAGTTTTCAATCAATAAATGCTATTTAAGGTGACTTAAATGGATTTTCAGCCTTTTTTCTCCCCATTTTAGTTTGTTAACTGAATTCTGGTATACAATTTGTAAAACTTTTGGAAAAGTAGTGGTTAAGTGTAGCAGTCTGCTTTTACAACAGTTTGTTTGTGACTAGTTAACTGTCTTGGTCAATTATCTGAAACCACAAGAGAAATTAACCAAATCTACTGGCAAATCTAGTCTTTTTCTTTTTCTTTCTCTTTTTAAAAACTTTTGATAATCTAACCCCAGGAGGATTTCTGAGTTACGTAACACCTTGTGTCAAGTCTTTAAACATCTTTTTAAAATGCTGCCCCCTGCTGCTGACTTGTGATTTCCAAGCAAAAGTTAAAAGACTATTCACCCCAAAGTGGAAGTTTAATCGCCCACAAGTGGTTTTGAACCTTTCAAGTTTCTTCTGTTGAACACAGTAAAAAAAAAAGGTTTGAATCTTCATCTTTGGAGTGAAGATTCATTTGGCAAAAAATCAATGGTGGGCTGCTTTTACTTCCACTTTTATTTTAAGGTGAGGTGTGTTTCTCAGTCCTCTGTATGCTCCAAATTAGGGATGCTCATTTTGGTTAATTTTGCTAACAGACAACCGCCGCTCGTGGTCAGATTACTATAAAAAAAAAAAAAAAACTTTTTTAAATGTATGTGTCTATTTTGTGTCTGACACATTAAATATTGCATTTTAAAATTCTAATTTATTTTAACATGCTAGCATATTAGTAACAGAACATAACAGAGCATATTCATGCACCTGCAGTTTTTCTAATAACACAGAAGAACAGAATAAACTAAATAAAATGAATAAAATAAATAGGCCTGCCCTAAGTTATTTTCCACTTAAATAATCCAAGCTCTTTAAAAGTTCTCTGTAGTTGTCTTGACAACACAAACTGCTGCTCTGGGATGAGCCACGTGCAAAACACCTGCGGCTTTTAGTAAACCATTTAAAAGATGCCCCTTTTAACGCAAACAAACGCATTTGATCGGCCCCTTATGCAGCCAAACTAAAAATGTATAAAAGAATGTTTTTAATCGTTTAACTGATATCATTAATCGGTTACAAACGCACCCGTTCGGTTAACGGTTAATCTATTATTTTGATCATCCCTACTTCAAATTAATCCCAAATAGTCTCGTTATTGCTGGTAAAATATTCAATATTGGTTAGTGTAAGTGTTTAAATCTGTATTTTTGTCCAAATGCCAAAAACAAAATGCCATTTAATATTTTTTTACTGTTTTCAATTTTTAGTTTTGATTTCAGAAAATTAATTTTAAAACATTCATTCTTAAAGCAAATTGGCTATTGTAGTCATGTTTTGTCATCTGAAATGTTTGTCACAATCTGATTTTAGTCAATCTAATTAATAAAGTTCTTAAAAATGGTAGCTCAAGATTTGTTCATTTAGTCTAATATTTAAATGAATAAAGGCTACAACTGCTTCACTGAATTAAGTCAAAGCTTTAGGCCTAGCACAAGTATTAGCCTGTGCTGTAAGTTTAAAACAGAAAATGTGGATAATAATCTATACTCTTAATTGAATGATTAAATTATATTTTAGGATGAAAATCAATTGCTGAAGTCGCAATGATAAAATAGGCCCATTTCATTTCTAGTGTCCTGAGACTCACACAAAATAATGAAGTTGGGTACTCTCGGCAGCAATAACACCAGTAAATGAGTGCATGATTGTGAAATTGGAAGTAAAGCGACTGTGCTGGGATGTGAGAGGTTTTCTCTGTATAGGCAAACCACTTACAGTTTTTATTGATCTTGTGAGTTATCCAGCATAAACGAAAGATTATTATTTAAATATAGAGTATTTGGATGCTGATCACCCTCTGGGAAATCTGTCAAAATGATGGACAGCCTTCAGCTTTTTACATCTCTGCTGAAAAGATGTATTTAAAAAAATAAATAAATGTGCGAGAGACACACTTCAGGTAAATCACATCTGCTCTTCAAGTTAATAGTTTATTAAGACATGCATCAAGTGTTTGAAAGGGAAAAAGGTCATTGAACGTGTGCAAATAATCATATTCATGTAACAGAAGCAGCACAAATGAAACCAACAAACAAGACTAGTTGGGATGAATTTGGACCTTGGTGGGCTAAGAGACCCCAAAAACTTAAATTGAATATTATTTCATTTATAAAACTATACAAAACACAATAAACAAGAGTATTTGGAGAGGCGACTGGAGACGTTATTCATCAATTCAAAGTCATTGTCTAATATTGTGAAAAGAGAAGCAGCACAAATGAATCTTTCACTGTCCCAAACTAGCACAAATGAAGCAAATGGTACATTTTAGGCTGAATTTAGAGCAGTTGGTGGAGCTGAAATTCACAAAGTCCAAGATAATTTTAACATCTGAAAAACCAAAGCAGCACAGATGGATTTTCCCTCCCGAATGTTTCAAACTATTTTGCTGTTTAGAGTTGGGTTTGGGCTCCTCCTGTTGTCCTCGGCGGAGCGGTGTGGTGCACAGGTGTCGCTCATTACCACTCACACCAGCGGCCTATAAATATGAATCAGTAAAGACTACAAGCACCGTTGTGGGCGGCAGCAGAATCATGCGCTCTCTCAGTTTATTGTTTACCTGTTTCTTGTTGAATATCGCAATGAACATTTATATGTAGTTTTGATGATGTGTGAAGTTTCTTACTGGATTATGTCATGTGCAGCTAATAATGTGAATCTGTGTGAGATTAGCAGTGCACGTGTGTTCATCAGTTTTCTTGTTTTTCAGTGGTGTTTCTGAACTCCATCCTGCTGATATCTGCAGATGATTACTGTAAGAGGTCTACTGGTGAGTGTCCTATCACTTCCCAAGTTATTTATTAGTTCGTGTAATTCTCAAAGGAACTTTAAACACTTGGTCTTTCTTAGTTCGTAATGTAGCAACTATTTAACACCTTATTGGTCATTCGCTCTTATGACTGAAGTCTACCAGTTTAAGTTCCTATTTGGACATTAAAGTGAGACCCTATCATTTTGCAGACATAGCAACTGCGTGTGAGCACTCTGTCCTGGATCTGTCCTGTCCAGGTAAAGTGTTCAAGTGGCACAATCCATTAAACTTTGTTCTATAATGCTGCTTTTTTTTTTTTTTTTTTTTTTTTTAAAATTCTCAAATGCCCCACCATTTGCTTCTGTCTCCATGTAGATCATACTAGGATT